TTGATAGCTAGAAACATAGAAAATGAAGATATTGAATATGTTATGAGACAAGAATTTTCGCCTGAACTCATACAAATTTATGGTACGATCAGAGAAAATTAGATGAGCATTCAAGTCAATTATTCGAATTTTTGTCTAGTATACACAAGATTAAGCATCGTACATAGTTATATCTCAACATATTCATACGGTAGTAAATATAATAGCCGAAATTATTGAACTCAATATTATCTCAAGGGGAATATAACGTAAAGGCTTCATCAGAAATTGAAATACGACCATTGAAATAATTTTTTCCTATATACCAGAAATGTTATTTTAACTTGTATAGAAATATACATTCGACTGAGTTAAATTAGAATACCGGACTTATAGTAGATTTATCTGTTTATATTCATGAGTTCATATTAGATTCGTAATCTTGACAGCCGCTTTAGACACCAACGATCTTAGTGATGAGAATGAAAAAGAATTGAATTTTATTCCTCTAGGATTTGGCTTGGTGCATTGGGTTATACTGAATGTCCCAGTAAGGGACGTTATATATATGGTGCTCTTTCTATTTTCTATATATTTTCCGTACTCAACAAAAATACAGAAGATATTGTTGTTGCTTTCTTCTTTTTCCGCTTTCGTTACAATTCTATTAATAATTGATCAATACACAAAGGAAAAATACAATAAGATATTGGAGAAAATTGACATTCTCGAATTTGTGGATAAAAGACCCTTCAAAGAATCAAGTTTAACAGTAAGACGTAAATCTTTTGGGGCGTATGTTGCGCAAAGTGAATTCAAAAATTATTTCTGAATTAAAGACTAATTATAGATTTAAAAGCACCTCTCAGTTAGTTGGGTTCCATGATGATATCATTGCCAACTTCATGAATATATGAGAAATCTTATAAACATCTGTCAGCAAAAAATATTGAAGGTTGGCATAGAACTATGCTAAAAGCAATGAAGGTTCAGGAAGAAGATTTGAAAATTTTCAATGATGAATTGTATAACTGAAGATTGAAGAAACGAAACGACTATACCTCCAGTCAATGTAAAATAATAGCAAGATGTTCCCTTTGCAACATCAAATTCATGTTTATGAAATTTGTCGACCTTCACCGTTTCTATATAGATCAATATATTTATATCACAAATTCAACTTGATAGAGAAGTTGTACAATATAGTCGCTCAATATCCTAATTCACCCGAACTATATACTCTTGGAATGGCAGTTATTATTACTCATATATTGTAAGGGACTGAATCAAACCTACATGCAGTCTGAATATCAATAGCAAAAAGCGAATACTAAAGTTGCATAAAGAAATCTCTCTTATTCAATTCCACACATTATGGTACATTGGATCATATCAGACTTGCCGTATCGCATAATCGGAAGTTGTGCTTGCGTTTATGCTATTTCGTATTTTTTATTTGACATTCAATCTGAATTGAAGATATTCATGTGTATCTATGCTTCCTTGATATCAACGGTGGCTCTAATTAGCATGTCGGTTTACCATTATGTTCAAAAGCTCAATGTTTACGATGAGAAGCTTGAAAAGATTGTTATTCCTGAATTCATAGAGAACAGACCCTTCAAGGAAACAAATCTGTTGCAAAAAGAAGAAATATTAGCAATCATATTACGAAATGTGAATAGTAAATTTATTTCTGAAATGAGGATAAATTACACGTTTAGAAACATAGAACAATTAGAAAAATTTCATGATAGAATTATTGCAAAATTCACAAAAAAATATTTTGAAACATACAAAGATTTGCCACTCGAAGATATTCAAGGTTGGGATAAAATGTTGTTAGTTGCCAAAAACATTCAAGACGAAGATATGAAGGATGTGTACGCGGACATGGTTTCACCTGAAATAATTCAGAAATACAGCAGTATACGCCCAACTACCCAAGAAAATGGACTGAACGGGAACTAAAGACTTTAGCATCAAGTGCCTATTTGCGATGCCCTAGTTCATCGACATTGCATACAATTGTGAATAGTAAAGACCCCCCTTGTGGTATGCACATACGAAAATCAACTGGAGCTAAAGAAATTTAATCCACATTGAATTGAAAAACAATTTCACTGACTACATGAAAGATATTAGTAGAGAATAGCATATAAAGTACAATAAGTATTGGAATTTCTAAGTTTTGTTTTTGTTTCTTTATTCACATTACTCAATAGACTAGGGTGATGGCTAAGATCCAACTTGGCATGGAAGGCAATCTGAGAGCATCCATTTGTAACCTTCACTATATTTAGAGGTATTTCATTAATGAGTTACAGTTGTATCTCTATGGTGACCATTCTAGAAAATATTGGACTTAATAGAACCAATATTAATTTATTCTAGAATTCATAGGCAAATGATGTTTTATTGAAATTGACAAAGTTCACTTTGAAGTACCAATAAATTACCCATACACTAATATTGCTTTGGTAGATAAATACGACCAGTTCTGGAACGCTTTTGAAGATAAATTTTGTAAATTATAGAGAAAATTTCCCGCTGAAGAAAATAGTTATGCCTGAGACAAGTTTTTATGCTATTGGTTAAGGACAGGTATATTCCACTTAACCAATATAATCATACGGTACAATCGGAAAAATATCCATTTTTTAGTTGGGTCTCTGCCGCACCTATAACATGTTTAGGAGTTTATAGGTACATCCCAAATTTCCATGCCCGCATTAATTAGTGCAACATTTTCGATGAGAGTGAATTAAATTTGTATTCCGCTGACACTAAGCATGGTGCACTGGGTTATCCTGAACTTTCCAATATGGGAAGTTATGTATGATGTGGCTCTATTATTAGTCACCGTATATTTCCCATGTACAACAAAAGTGCAAAAAATGTTGTTGTTACTGGCTTGTTTTTCAGCTTCTCTAAGAATTGTATTTTCAATACTTGGTGCATACTCAAAAATAAAGGAGAAAACCGATCTAGATTTGAAGAAAATGTTAATTCCTGAATCCATCGATGCAGACCCTTCAAGAAACAAATCTAAAACAAATAAAGCGGAGTGCTAGGAGTCATATTGTGAATATCAACTTGGTTTCTCAAATAAAGATGAACTACAGCATAGATGAAATAGTAGAATTGCAGCATTTTATTTCATGATACAAATCAGAATTCATCTAGTAGTACGTTGAAGAATGCAATGATTTTCCACTAGAAAATATTCAAGACTGGATTAAAATTGTTATTTTCTAAAAGCGATCAATACATTTGAAGAGCAATACGCTACACGATTGCATTTGAAATAATTCAAAGATAAATCAGTACAAAAGACCACTATTCAGGAAATTGAACTATTACAAGTAGGAACTAAAAGCATTAGTGGCAAGAGGCGTCTACAACTCTTACACTAGCTTTGGCGGTATTGTACAGAATTGTAAGCAAAAGTTGTTCTGAGGTATAAGCAAAGGAAAAGAACTAAATATGGGTATCATTAATTCTCATTGAGCCAAGTAAGGTATATATTTTTCAGCAAATTGCAATTTCTCTAAATATGTAAGGTCACATAGCATTATCAGCTCTTATGTCATTCCCATAACAAGGACCTAAATGGCAAGATGTAAATATACGAAAAAGATCTAAGGTACGTCTAACAAATATAATTATCTATATATACATGTGCAGCACTATAGAATAATAAATAATGAAAATGAAATAAAACAAAATAAATAAGCATAACTCAATTAGCCTTTAGAACCCGAAAAAATCTCTCCACGTTGACCACTCATCCATTTCGACATCATAAATGTATGCCATAGAGTGTCTCAATGAGCTCTGCAAGTACTGTGGTTGATAATCGTAGATAAACATAACTAAACCCCACGTCAACACCGCAAAGTACTTCCATGTCTTATTATACACAGACGACCTCAATTTCTTCTGCTGGCTGCCCGTTAACTTGGCGTATTGTATCAGTTCTCCACTGGCCAGATAGATCGTAGGTTGTCTACAAGCCAAGTACTGATCGAGTAGAATCTTACCTACCGCAATCAAAACTCTAGAGAAACAATAAAGGGTAACCTGGTGGGTGATTCCCGGATTGAAGTAATTGAAGTGCTGTGAATAAACTACCCACGACCCAAAACACCCAGCAAGAAATTTGGCCATCCCCAATTTGTCAGTTCCCATAACCTTCTCACTAGTCAACACTCTCACAGCGAATTTATATATTATCGCGAATCCAGCTAACACCTCGGCATGGTTTTTGGTGGCCTTCAATACCTGCTGCATTCTTGGTTTAAGCGGCCCCGACCTATACAACAAGTTGATAACCAACGCATGCGAAAACCGAATCTTCCCCCCGTACACTATCCCATTTCTTGAAGATCTAAGTACCTCCAAGAGTGGACGATAAAGTGGATTATTCAAAACACTCATATTTATTTTCACTTCTGTATGTCACGTTTTATTTCTATCTTATATGGTTCTGCAACTCTTGCCTCTCCAGATCCCTTGTTAATGACGTGTATTCGATTATATTCACTAGTGTGTGCTATCAGCTTCACCTCTTTATTCTTTTCATTAAGTCCCGTTTATATTGTGGAGTGAGTCTATTCATTGTATATACAGGACATTCCTCCACAAAAATCAGGCCTTATATAAGTACTATGTTTACTCTCTTTTGAGCATGCCCTCAGTAAAACAAGAACCGCTTTTCTTCCACCGCGTAACTTTTTTTTTCACCTGGGCCTAATAATGGTATAGACAGTAGTAATGATTCTCAACAGAAATCTTAATACGACAACGACATTAGAAAAAATATATATAGCAACTATCATTGACCATAATGGTGTTCAGGGAAACATTGTAGACATGTATGTAGTTGTATTGTAGCAATTTGTAGTTTGAATGCTCCAACACGTCAGATGTAGGTAGCTTTTTTGCACCTCTCACAGTAGTGTAAATCAGCTTACCAGGGTATAGGTTTTTAAGAAAATCAAAGTTACACAAAATCCCGGCCAATATTTTTTTTTTTGGTAGAAAAAAATTTCATTCTACCGACTAAAAATTTTTAAAGTTAGTATAGACCGTAATTAATTAGCTATAATAATTCTAACGATTTAAATACAAATATAGGTATTTGGCAGGAACTATTTAACTTTATAAATAGGATTTTTACGATTTTGAACAGTACAAATCATCTACGCTAGTTAAACATCTATCCAGTTACAAAGGTTAGCATTCACATTAATCAAGCATATATTAGCCTAGTGTACCCGCCACCAATTAATATTTTCATATATTAAGCACATAACATATTCAGCAGCTGTTATATTTGATATACTAAAGGACAATACCTAGTATACCATCGTTATAGTCATTTTATTTGGATATTCCCGCAATAGTACTTTGGACGCTGAACACAATAATCGATATGTCTTCGCCAGTTTCGTACGCTAACGTCGCCAAAGGGCAAGTTCCAGAACAGGAATTGCATGAAGTTTCTAATGAAGCTCCTAGAAGTGAAACCTCCGGGGTTGAGGTCACTTCGACTGAACAACCACAAGAGGCAGAAGCAGCAACAGAAGAGGCTGCTGACACCAAAGAAAAGGAAGCTGCTGCCAAGGAAAAGAAGCCATTGGCACCAGCTCCAGTTCCTAGCAAGTCTGCATGGGGTTCTGCTGCAAACGTGATGGCTAATAAGCCAGTTGACGAGCACAAGTGGCCAACACCTGATAAGGCTAGTTTGTCAGATCAACAAGCCAGTGCAGTCCAAAAGCAACAAAAATTCATTAAGCCTATTACCAACAAATGGGTTCCTATCAACGCAAAGGTTATTTTACCAAGTGGAAGAGCTAACAGCCAGAAGCAGAAGCAGAATAAAAAGAACAAGAAGGGTGCTAATACTCAAAAGAAGCAAGCAAACAACCAAAGTACCCAAAATACCCAAAATAACAACCTTAACATGCAAACAAGCCAAGCAGCTCCTGGCATAAGTAAAAGGGACGGTCAATTTGAGTCGCCTGAACAAGCTCAGCAACCACATGATGGTTTCAAACCAAGACCAAATGGTCAATTCCAAGGTCAGCCTCAAGGTCAACCTCAAGGTCAATCTCAGCAAAAGAATATGAGACGCTTTAACGGTAACACCAATGGAAGTTTCAAGCCAAGATTCCCTAACCAACCAGCTGCTCAACAACAGCAACAACAAACATCACCTCAGCAAAATGGTTTCTACCACCCTCAACCATTCGTTCAAAACCAAAACTACCAAAACTTCAATAACCGTCAATTTAGACCAAATCAATTCCGTCATCAAAATAATAGAAATTTCCAACAACCAATGAATGGATCTAACGGATTTATCAACGGTTCCATGGGATTACCACAACAAATTCCACAACAAATTCCTCCACCAATTTCACCAAAGCAAGATCCTCAACAAGCATTAACTCAACAAATTGACTATTACTTTTCTTTGGAAAACTTAATAAAAGATATCTTTTTGAGAAAGAATATGAATACTGAGGGTTGGGTTTCATTAGCGTTAATTTTAAACTTTAAGCGTGTTAAAATAATTATTAACGGTATACAGAATAGTATTGAAAATAAAGAGATCAGTTCTAGCACTATCATTTTGGATTCATTGAAACATTGTGAGAATTTAGAGATTAATTACTTGAATGGTAAAGATTTACAAACTGCTGATATTGATGACATTGAATTAAGAGTTAAGGGGAATTATGAACAATGGTTGTTACCAAATGATAATTAAATGAGTTGAGTCTGATATATCTGCAGATATATTAACACAGAGAGATATCGATATAACTTCGAAATTTTTATTTGCATCCTTCTTTTCTTATGTTCATAGGATTAGATTATTATCGTTACAAATGATATTCGTCACTAATTATTATTATTATTTTGCATTATAATTTATTCATTAAAACATATTCCAAAATGCTAAAAAAAAAAAATGTTGTTTCTATTATAAAATTTAAAAAAAAAAAAAATTATATTATTGATTTTCTTGTTATTCTTATGACTTATCTTCTTATACATAGTTTCAATAGATCTCTATACATAATTAATAAAACCAAAATGACAAAAACAGAAGAGACGAGAAAACGTATTTGAAGCTTTGTAAATTATTCTAAAATTTGCAAAATTTGCGGAATTATCAGATGTGATACTTCTAGCTTTGATCTTATAAAAAATATGTTACGGCTTACACAATGAAATTATATTGTATGCTATTCTTATTCAACAAGTGCAATGTTAATCCTATATAATAACATTCTAAATGTTCTCACTGTTAGGGGTACGATAGTTCAATTCATATTCCTGTATTCCTCCCCCGAAAGTATCATAATCAGAATGTTCAAAACTCTTTGAAGACTTATTGCTCAGCTTAAGCTCATCAACAATTTGTAAATTTCTGATGATAAATTCGTCCGCCACTTCAGAATCCAAATTATCCAAATCTTTTCTTGGAATAATTAAAGGCCATACCCATTCAGCGCATATGGCAAAGAACATAAGCACCCCCGGAAAGCCTATAGCCCCTTTGGTCAACGTTATACCGAATTCAAAACCAAATGCAATTAATTGGAGAACCAAGTAAACATAAAACCATTTCTTGTTGGGTATTTTATCAATATCTCTAAACACTTGAGGACATGTAGGGTCATTTTGAATATACTCAGAGTCCATAAAGATATATCTGATTCTGTTTGTGATGATGTTTCCATGTAAACCTGTAATTCCCATGACAAAGAACAATCCAGCTAGCAATGCTTGAGGAATTAATCCTAGAACAACCAAAAATGGTCTACTCATCATTACAAATGTTAGAATGCCTTGAGCTGTATTTGTTACTCTCTGCTCAACAACTGATAGTACTTCTCCTGTCTGGAGATTATGAATAACCAACGATTGTGTGTGAAGAGGGGCTTGCGGTATAAGACCATTTGGAGCAGGAAGGCCCATTATTCCAGCTATTCCTGTAGTTATACCAAGTAATGTAAAGTCCCAATGGAATGAAGAAGGCTTTTCCAATGGAAATTCTTTCAGCTGACACATAAGCGACGAGACATTATGGTCAAAGTAAAACAAGAAAGTCAACAATATAGCAAATGGTATTGCCAAAAATATATCTGCAACAGCTATATGAGGAGGCCAGAAATGAATGAACCAGCCATGTGCTCTTTCTTCTCCATGAAAGGTGGGTTGGAATGATTGCGTAATAGGCAACCTCTCCAATTCAGTGTCTTTTAAACTTCCACCAAAATGAATAAAGCCAGTGAAAAATATAATACTTGCAGGAACTCCATAATCGGTGAATATTTTTCTAATCCAGCCTTTAAAATAATGCAATGAGCTCCCGAAAATAAAACTCCCTACTCCAAAGATGACCATTAGCAAACTGATCATTACAGAGCAATAACCACTCTCAATACTGACGTTTCTAAATTGGTTGTTCAAAATTTGAATCCCCTTTTGAAGGTAAACAACATTGATAAAGAACCCGAATACATCGCACGAAAACAGACTGATGATCTTCAAGTAAGAAATTAAATTCCCAAAAGATATGACAAAGTGCATCACCATAGACCAGAGGTATATCCAGCACATGAAAGGAAAATATGGCGTTCCTCTTGGCTCCATTAATTCATAAACTGTATAGCTGAAAATCGAAATTGGTCCCGTAACTCCTACCATACATAACGGCTGACCCGAAAATAACCCAAATGCAACTCCTGCCATTGCCGAACTCATTAAAACCTCATTTAATCCATATCTATTTTGTGTCTTATCAAACATATCCTGAGCAAAAGCTATTGCAGGTAACAAATTAGTAAAAAATATAAATGTAGTGGAGGGTATCACCCTATAGTTCCATGCATCTGTAAAATCAGATTTGTAGTAGGGTAGCCTGCTTCGCAAGTCATTATATACACCATATCCAATATATCTCAACCCCCTAAAACTAAGCTTCATCTTAATAGAAAATACGGGTATTTAAAAGCATATAATGTATTACTAGATATTACAGAAAATTGTAAGTGTATAAATGTATGTATGGATATTTGTTAGCTAAATCAATCCTGCGCATAGGGCAATAAAATTGAAAAACGTTCGTAAATAAATTTGGAGCATCGTTAGCTGAATGGGTTGATGAGCTCAAGAAATGGGTTTTGAATACAAACTTTCCTTGCTTTTTATGCTACTTGTTTCACTGTTTATTGAAGCAGGTATAGCAGTAGTGTTCCGTACGAGTTTTGATTTTTCCTTCGATTTCTTGAGCTTTAGTTTTCTTTCCTTACGACGGCGCCGGGCTCCATTAAGCTCCTTTGACGCTTGCGTCACGAAATAGCCTGCTGTAAATAACAATGCTAGCATTATGCCTGTTAGAGTAATAATAGAAGTATGTTTGATGTAGCCCTCACTTAATAATAACCCTATGTTTGATGCCAAGAAAAACGTGCAACAGTTATCACTTATCTACAAGGATAATAGATTAAATTAGTTGTAGTAATCATGAATTATAAATTGCAAAATTGTGCAATATTTCAAAAAGGTCCCTTGGCCCAGTTGGTTAAGGCGTGGTGCTAATAACGCCAAGATCAGC